AACATTAAAATCTCCTCATCTTGTCAATTGACTTTGTTTCAGGGATCTAATCAAATACACACCGACTTCCAGACAAGGGAAATGGAAGATGAAAAATGCTAACTCACGTCTGGGTTTAAGGACTCATTAATGCTTCACTGTGTGGGGTCAAAAACTCTGCCACATTAATTCTCCCACTACAGCTGTGATGAGGAGTTCTTCCATACTAAGCAGCAGTGGTCCCACGATCCAGAGCTTGTTATCTACAGAATACAAACCAAGTCTGACAGGCTCCCCACGGGCGATGTCACATGCTTCTGCCAGGGCTTCATTCCTATTCTATTCCTGTGGATACGCTGCCCTCATAAAGTATGGTCTCTGTGGCGTGGCCAGACTTGACACTGAGAGACTGGCAGTCATGCTCGCTGGAATGAAACCACTTCTATCTTGCATTATAATGCCGGGGCCACACAATAAAAGGGGCAAGACAGCAAATTGAACCTACTGTCAGACAAAACTGTCACTGACAAAGTGATGCTTGTTCCAGCTATCTTGACGTTTTGGGGTTACGGTTTCTCTGGAATAGTCATTTGTCTCCATTTCAGGCATATGTTTTCTTATTATTTCAACAAACTATGAAGTATCGGCTATGACAACATCGTTTTTGCCTCCTGATTTGGTCTTGTTGTCTCTGGAAACCCTGCTGGTATGTGATTTGTTTTCACAATGGGCAGCGTTGTTATTCCATGCTAAAAGGAACAGAGTTATATTTTTGGAAATAGCTGGTATGCAATGACACCACAGTCAAATGAGTAATCCATATCAATCATCTCTGGGCATCAGGTAGAAAGGTACAGTATTAGGAGTATGTTTAACCTGCTAAGCTGCTTCTGCTAGTCCATCTCTGTCAAACATGGAATAAATGTGCCTTTCAACACATCCACAGCTGTATGTTTTGCATGTTGTGTGTTGTAACAGTGAGTAGTTGTCAGGAACACATCCAGGAGTCACAGGGGTATTCTTCACTACCGATTTATGACAAGACTTTGAATACCATATGTCAGTCATTGTGCACAGCAATTTGCAGAAAGGTCAGAATATTAGAAAAGGCTCCTATTGGGGATATAGGTTAGATACACAGTTTGTATACAAGAAAGCTTTAGACATGCTGACAGGCATCTTTTTTCACTTATGAAGAAGCTATGCTAATAGTGTTCCCCCTCCTTACCCTTGTTAGCTTCCTTAACCTTTTCTTACTGGATTTTCAAAAGTGGTATTGATCCTCGCTTCATCTAAAAAATGCAAACTAGTGTGTTTTCCACAATTCTGAGCGTTCCTAGTACACGTTCCTGTAACTACAGACAGTAGACAACGACGGGCTGCTTCAATACAAAATCAGTTACACGTATCTGCACTGAGTGTTTGGCAGGTCTATTACGTTTCTCTCAGCACTCCGGCGCTGCTTAGTATCGTTCAAGCTCATTCAGATTACACCTGTAGCATTACAATGGTGTGTATAAAAAAGGAAGTGTGTTCTCCGAGAGCTGCCATTACTCACTGATATACAAGACACATTTCCTAAGGCTTCTCTCCTGAAAGTGAGAGCGTTTGCCTTGATAATATTTTCAAAGTGGTAATCTTGTGCATTACAAAGATGACAGCAGATGTTGGCAGAGGTTTCACCTTCTGTGGATGATGTTTTATTTAACAATCCTTTACAATAATGTGACATTGCACTTTCTCTGACTACCTACAAGAGCTGCTGTGAGAGTAGGGACAATGTATGCTCAATTTTGAACTCATGTCTACTCGCACTGACTATAGTTGTTTTCTGTTACACGATGGTATAGAAGCAGGGAAATAGCATCCGTTCAATTTACATTTGAGGAAATCCATTTTCAGTTGCTTATCCACAGCCTCCGAAGTGATCCCTGTTATTTCCCAGGCTAACACGTCTTGCTAGATTATCTCATATAAAACTGACAACTTGCTCTCTGGTTCCAAAAACTGGTTTTGTATGCAGCAGTATTTATCTGTCTTTTCAAAGGCTCTCTTAAAACAAGGTGTTGTACCAGCCTATTCAAAACAGGCTGTGGTTCAGCCACTCCTTTAAACACACTCCTGACCTAAGAGTGTTTTTACAATATCTAGATCCGGGGTGTTTCTCAATGTCGAGGACGCTTCCTTGGTAGGACATGTCCCTCCGAGTCAGGTCCTTCGGAAGCGAGGCAAAAATCCCTCGGAAAACGAAGAATGGTGGAACAGGCTAACAGGTGTGCGTCATATGCGAGGCCCCGCCTTAAATGGAGCGCGATTTCCGCCAAAGATTTTGGAAATTGGTCCGTGCGCAAAGCATTGTGGGGATTTTAAGACCGCGGAGGATACACATGTGCAGCCTCGAAATTTCCCGCAACGAAGGACGCCGGCCTCGGTAGAATTCCAAGCATCCTGGACATTGGAACAGTCCTTCGGCGGGACTCGATGACGTAGCATCCTTGAAATAGTGGCTCTGGAGCAGCCTTCCTCGACATTGAGAAACACCCCCGGTTTATAATTTTTATTTAAATAAACCTGTGTAAGGACATTATACGAGTCCCCCGAATTGTGTCAAGCGTTGAAGTAAAGTTTTGTAGAAACCAAACACTGGAATCACAAGTTACGTGTCAGTGACTTAATGCCATTGGGGCCATGAACAGTTTTTCCCATTGACTTACATTAAGAAAGAAACATCTGTAAATCAGCATGTAATTTCTGTTATGTTAAATCAACAATCCAGTACCAACGCTTTATTAAGACTAAGTATCACAAGTTGTAAAACGCACTAAAAGCCAAATTCAAGGATATTTTCTCTCCATTCATTAGATCGAGCCAAGAAACGGATGTTAAGGAGTAGCATGGAGGCGGGGTTAAAGGAAATTGAAAGTGTGCTTGTTGTCTATAGGCCCAATAGTAAAAAAGACCCACAGAAAATCCGGATCATTTTGTACTTGAGAGTCGAGCAACTTTAGCTTCATGTGCCAACTTCCATAGGAATAAACAGGGCAGCGCTTTCTACTCTGTATCCAGTACTCCTTTTAATTAATCCATCAGATTATACAGCACTGAATAAACCCTTTTGATAGTCCACAGTCTATTCATTACATTACATTACATTGCATTTAGCTGACGCTTTTATCCAAAGCGACATACAATAAGTGCATTCGATATATTCAATAGCAAACAGGCTGTTGCACACTGTAAATTATGGGGTGCATCGTGGTGGCCTCTGGGTTAAAGACATTGACCCTTGTTGCATATATTTAAGCTTGCTAAATTATTTTTAAAATATTTTTTTTTGCACTTTTATTGTCATTACACAGTACAGGTACTATGTAACAAAATGGTTTCTCTGCATTTGACCCATCCTAGTGTTAGGAGCAGTGGGCTGCCATTATGAACGGCGCCCGGGGAGCAGTGTAGGGAACGGTGCCTTGCTCAGGGACACCTTGGTAGCACTTGGTCTTGCGCGGACTTGAACTGGTGACCTTCCAGTTGCCAAGCCAAGTCCCTATGGATTTCGCCACCACCGCGAAATACACTGCTTCCGCTGTAAATAAAGTCAAAGACGGGAATAGCACAACATAAAAGCAGTGACCTGAACATAACCATATGTGGTTGAAAAATATGACCTATTTGGATCATACAGAACAGACCAATGAATAAGATACGATAAGATAAGATATTTTGAAATAAGGGCTGTGTTAAGTGTCTTTAGCCGTAAAGGTCCAAATGGGGTTTGCTGGTCAGTGTGTAGCTGCAACAACACTTGACAAAAGGAGAACTGACACTGGGATTTTAAATATGATTCGGTCTAAAAATAGAGCTCATCTTAGTCATTCTTGAATGCAGAGTGACTCATGACAGTTTGCCCATCTAACATAAATAATCCCCCATCCTCCAAACTGTAAGTTAATATTCACTCCGTGTCGAGGCTGGCGTTTAGCACTACAGTGTTTCCTGGTCTTCTTGCACTTGCAAAGACTCTGCCGCCTGCTTGGGATCAGTCTGCTCACGACTTTTAGCTGACCTCTGCAATTTCTTGCACAGGATGATAAATGCGTTATAAAATAAAGGTTTAAATGTCCAATTTATCAGTTCATTCATAAAATGAGTAGAACCACACTACAAAAAACTCCTGGAGATGCCATCGGGGGTTTTACTTCATGCAGCACTACACACATTACATTGATTTGTGAGGTCATTTACCCAGCATCTTTTGCTATGGCTAGGACATGGTGATGTGTGTTGATACAAGCTGATGATGCACATTTCCAGCTCATGATACAATGCAATATTGACCTTGCAAGGCTGCAAAGTATAGCAATGTCAGAGATGTCTCTTGGGATTGTCTATAGAAAAGCAAGTCTATACTTAAAGATAGGGCTATATTTAGCAACCTACTCATGGTGTCGTTGTCCATGAATGGCTTCCATGGAGGACTAATCGAATGAACACTGCCTGTGATAAAATAATGTAGAGTAATGATCGGTCCACCATACCTTTCAAGGCTGATTAGCTTGATCAGTCACGTTTCAAACCACAGTAGAGCTAGGTAATGTAGGCCTCTTGAATAATTTATGGGTTATTCTGTCAACCCTTAATCAAAATTACATCACACAGAACTAGAGAGCACAGTGACACACAGTTGTTGCCTTTCTCCACTGAGTATTAGAGGGGCTTGTGAACAATGTATCACATTCAAGCAAGACAATTAAAAACAAATGTTTTCTGTTAAGTTTTCATCTGATTTTAGAGCAATCGAGTAGCCTGAGTTGAAACAAATACATCTTTCTTCAGACAGTGCCCACACATTACTGAAGTTAGCTATTCGATCCCCAGTGTACCAAAGTATATTGTTGTGCTCAGAAAGCAGGAAGCCAGTTAGTCAACCCTAAACACTGTTTAGTTAACTAGTTATACGTTGGTGTAACAAAAGCAAAACCTAAGACGAATTAGAGTAATTAACAAAAATATGAATTTACCTTGTGAAGAAATGTAACAGGACGCGTAGTTTTGACACTGCAGTGAAGAGGCTGAATACTTCCCAAAAGTCTCGCCGTAACTTTGCCGACCATCCGAACCGAAGCCATCGTTAACCCGTGTTTAGGAGCTTTTTTCGGGCATACCGTGTGGAGAGACTTCCACAAAATGAGCCTCGGAGCCCGGTGTTCCGGTTGGAAACGGGCTTGTGTTTTTGCTGTAAATAAAAACAGCTACGGGACAGAGGGAGGAACAGCCCCGCCTGTGCTGCATACCATTTCCTCCTCCTCCTCCTCACATGCACGGTCACCGTCCTTGCCAAACTCTTCTTCCCTTTTCTCTTCTTTTCTGTTTAGCATGAAGCAGCCAGCAGGGAGCAGCTGAACGTGATGTGCTGTCCCAACCATGGATGACCAATACAACCTATCCAAGTACAGAGTGCGCATGTACAGAGGGTTATAAAAAACTGAGGCTGGAGGACCCTCAGAGGTCTTCATGTTACACATTTCACCAGGAAGAGAAGGTCATTACACGTTTAAGAATAGGACACACAGGAAATCAAATACAAAATTGGCAGGCACCCCACAGACTGATAAACCGGAAACTGTCAAACATGTCTGATTAAACTGCCACACATATGATGACAATAGATTAGTTTCAGGGTTAGTTATGAAAACCTCAGCCTAACCTTGGGAAATCTGCTAGGGAGACCATAAGACAATGTATTCAGCCTTCTTAAGAGCAAGAACCATAATTATATAGAGAATTAAGTGTATTTTTTATGTTTTTTCCCTGCCACTGTACTACACTCCAGTCCAATAGGTGGCAATAATGCGCCTATTCGTTGGTAGCCAACCGCCATTAAACGTCGTAGAAGAAGAAGAGATGTCACCACACCTGCCTTTGCTTTGCGGCAAATACCAATTAGCCTTCATGAAAGGTAAGCTAGGTCGGCTATCTTTTGATGAAACCTGCAATTATAAATGTCCTACCATTGTGTTTTTATTGTTTAAACAGTTCAATAAACCAACAAAACTACATGTTAACTGTTATCATTACCTGTTGCAATACAACTTCCAGCCAAGAGTGGGAAATAAGTGATATCCGCCATCTTGGATTTTTAAGTAAATTGCACTTTTGTGACTATTAACATTACTGTATATCGTTTTTTGTCCTTTTGTTGTGTTTGCACTTTTAATAATGCCTCAATAATCAACTTTATTGGTATCTAATGTCCACAAATGGTGCTTCACAAGCCTTGTTTGGCCAAATACTAGAAAAATCACCCATTTCTCATTGGAATAATAGCACTGCTTTGCTTACTATGCACTAGAAGAAGTCAAAAGTGACTTTCCTCATTAAAGTACTCTCACATCCAGTGCTAGCCTCATACATTATGGTACAAGGAAGAAAACAGTGTGGCAATGTTTTTAGTTATTTTTGTGAAAACTACACATTTTGTGAAACTACTGGATTTAAATGTTCGTTTCTTCCACAGGCAAAGATGTACTGATTTGGGCAGACTGTAAACACCTGTGTTGATTATGAAAATATCTTTGTATATAATACGTTGGTATTTTGTATCAGGGTTCCTGCTAAGGAGTCTGTGATTGTGAGGAGTGCCGAGGTCCAGGATCAGTCGATGTGAAGATGGATATGCAAGACGAAACTGAACACCCCCTCATTCAACTCCTGGTAAGACAGCAAACAAGCAAATGCTCCCTTCCCTTTATAAAATGTTGTCGTAATCCTGCACTACTTGCTACTGAAAAAACTACACACATACTTTAACTCACTACCTTTACTCAATAATGCATTCTGTCATACACTGTTGACAAGTCATAACAAGATACACAGTGTAAGTCTGACTCAGAGATTGTACCTCAGGCCCAATACTTCCGCTTATATCGCAGTTCCTCAGTTTTGGCCTAAACCCTGTCAGGCAACTACTTGGTTTAATATCCCTTGAAATTAAAAGCTTTCGAGCCCTCTCATTAGAGAAAGCATTATTTAATTTAAGTGTTTGTGTGGAAGTTGGATAAATAAAGAAAGCACAATCAGCTTCTCTCTTTCATTGTCTCATCGTGCACATTAGTTCTAATTAAAATGCATAAACCTGTAAGTGTTTATTGGCTCAGAACCTCTGTGTATGCTTCATTTAATCAGTCTGACACAAACCAAATTCTTCCCTGAGTTATGGGTATGGACTTGTTTGTCCTTTTCCTCCAAACCAATCAATGAACCCTCAGCTGTCGTCAATAGTGGACCAGAGGAATGTGCTCTTGGCTCTCAATCCACAAAATGACCAGCCATCATATGGTGGACATAATGCCAGTCGGGAAAATCACATTTTAAAATACCATTGCCGTTATTGACTGCTGCTCATTCATTAATATTTAAGCATTTTACAGATAAGCTGTGCAGTTGTCAAGCTGAGCCTGGTAAATAATATCTGTTTAACTGAGCTCAACAGACAACAATCTGGTTGTCTTTTAACCTACCGACCTTTAAGCCCAACAAATCTAGAAAACTGCTTTCAGCACACTGAAAAATATTAATCATTTTCTATGCATAGTGGCTGCTTTGAAGAACATTTGTGTAGTTTTGCATCATAAATTAAATACTACAATACAGTGTGTTGTTTGTAAGGTATGTTGTGATAAGGAGTAACTGTTTGTGGACCTGTTTTTGTTTTTAATGTTATTCCTCTTTAAGGCCATTAAAGAGAATGTCTACTCAAATGAGCCGATGCGAATTGAGTCATTGCTTCTCTCTCTGAACCCCGCTGACAAAGTTTTGTTTTCTTCTATTAAATCAGATGATAAAGTAGAGGAGGCATTATTCATAAAAAGCAGTTTATTTTTAAGACTTCCTTTTATTTATGTCATACCTAGGGTTGCAGAATTCTGGGAATTTTCAAAGATGTAAACTTTCCATGGGAATAAACTGGGAATTTTCTAAATTGAAGGTTGGCTCTCCATAGGGAACTTAAATATAGTTGGGGAAAGTATATTTTAGCATAATCTTGACTAAAACAAACAGATGCCATTCAAGTACACTTGAATATCCATGCCATTCCTCAATCACATGCACATAGCACACTGCCTACTGCATGGCTATTGAGACCACACCCCCTACAGCAGGGATGGGCAACTTGGATAGTGGTGGGGGGCCCACATCATTTATGTACTGGCCACCAGGGGGCCACAGATTCACTTGGAACACACACACACACACACACACACACACACACACATATATATATATATACTACTACTACTACTACTACTACTACTACTACTACTACTACTACTACTACTACTACTACTACTACTACTACTACTACTACTACTACTACTACTACTACTACTACTACTACTACTAGTAGTAGTAGTGGCGGCTCAAGTTGCTTACTTTCATTACAGCAACGGTCTGCAAACATACTCAACATTGCGGTTTACCCCTGAATTCAGTGAAAATATATTCTTTTTCCCACTTTTCTTGGAAAACACGATTTCCCTAAGATACCTTTCCTTTCTCTTGCTCATGCTGACATCCACAGAGGGCTGTGCTCGTATGTTACCCGCTCTATTGAAATCAGTCGGAAGTCGCAACGGCTCATTTCAAAATAAAATTATACAATTTGATTACATTACCCTCAATTCCCAGTTAGTTCCCAGTTAGTTCCCATACATTCCCATACATTCCCATAATTCCCATTATTCCCATGGAAAGTTTCCAATATGGAATATTTCCAAAATTCCCCAGCTTAACTTCCCTTGGAAATTGACCGGAAACTTACCGGAAATTTACCGGAAATGTTCCGCCCCATTGCAACCCTAGTCATACCCTACAGAAACCAGTTCACTGAATCCAGTATTATTGGTAAAAAATCATCAGTATTCCCAGAGAGAAGATGTATTCGATATAGGTTTTTGGCAAGAAAGTTGTTTTTCTTTCCCGTTTTGTCACACTAATGAAATTGGTGCCCAGTTACTGTAGTTTTTTCCAGGTCAGTCATTGTTTATCACCTGCTGCTAAATTTATTCTCTCCTATTGGCCTCGAGCTGACTGAGTAAGACTGCATTCAGCTTTCCTGTTTAATTAAGTAATTGGGAAATGTGCCAATTTGGTTTCTCATGGGCTGGTTAATATGCTTTAGGTTGAGAGAAGCTGCACTTCCAAAACACAAACTGCTTGCGTAGAGATTTGTCTGCAAGTTAATTATGAAATAGCTTTGTGATGCATGCTGTAGTTGCAACGACAAAACACTTTGAATCTAAGTTATATCACAGTGTCTGGTTTTACTGTAGAGCTTTATGTGTTTTTTTCTCATTCAAGTTGAGTTGATGTACCTTTTAATGATGTTTTACAGTACATTATTTCCTCCACATTTCAGGTTGGAGGACTCTTGGCTAAATGGGACTTGATCAGAGCTTAACAAGGTGAGTTTTTACATGATTTTTGGGAGGTCTGTATTGTTTAGCAGAGAGAGGCTGCCCCCTGGTGCACTTGGAGTAACATTACACAACCAAAATGAACAATGAATACAACACAGAAATGCATACTCCGTACAGCTACTACAGAGGTACTGAGCTCATACAAAAATACAGGATTCACTACGTCATCATCAAAAACAACAACACATTACCTTCAACACAAGGTCTGGCTGTTTAAATGACTGGAAAGTATCGAAAGGGAAGCTTTACAGTGCTCTCTATAGGACTTGAACTCTGTGGATATTCAGCACCATCTTGTGGTATCAAACAGTCAGACACATCCTTAGTAACAGTTTAATCATGATGTAACACTCTCTGAAATGCCCTGTAAGCTAAGTGTATACCGTGTAAAACAAGATGGTTTTACTGAAATTACACACGAAATAAATGAACATGAACAGTTTCAAAGAATGATAGATTTAAAACCAATTATATTTACCAGGACGTTTCCTAAAAGTTTCCTGCAATTCTCTCGGCCCATCACATCCAATCCAAACCCCCCTTTGTTCAGAGATACTTCCACACACAGGCTTAGAGACAAGTTAACCCTGAATGTTTAATATCTGCAGACTGAATATCAAAGCTTCTCCAAAATTATAGATGAACCAGTCAAATCTGTTTGAGTGAATTCGATGGAAAGACATGCAGATGCATAAATGCAATACAATCGTCATATGTACCGATACTTATACATTGTGTCCCTTGTTTGGTTGTCTGTTCAATCAGAAGTCTATGATGAGTCTCTGTTCTGTGGTATTTGTAATCGCCATCCACATTTTTTGAGATTTCTTGTCATCAGTGTACTTCTTACTCGTTTTACCACTGGATGTCGTACAGATACAGCGCAGTGTGAATCACCTGCTTTTATAGTAACCACTACCTACATATATAGTATTCATCCCTTTTGGAGGTGTTCATCTTTTATTGTTTTGCAACTTAAAAATCATGTATCTTTTGTGTCGCTGAGCAACAGGAAAAGA